GGGGGGGGGGGGGGGGGGCACGTGGAAGAGGTTGGCAGGCCACTGGTGCCGTTTGGGCTTCCGCCATCATGAAGGGGTGCGCCGTTTCGCCTCCCTAGGCCAAGTGGCGGCCCATCATTGCACCCATTCAACCCTTTCTCTATAAATATCAACCCCACCCCTCTCATTCCCCACCTTTTAGAGAGAGAAAGTAGGAGATTTCTTTTGCCGTCGCTAGCCTTCTCACCGACGTTCTCGTCCACCTCCCGGCTCCGTACTAGGTTAGTCTTCCTCGTCCTTGTTCTTCCATGTCTTCCCAATCCTCCGTCTTTCGTCAGTCCGAGTCCGAGCGCGCTGCTGAGGGCTCTGTCGCCGGCCCCGCGCAAGAGAGCGACTCCCACTCGCCCTTCGTCAAGGAGATAGCCGAGGCGGTCGAGGTCCCTCTTCAGTCCGAGCCTCGTAACCAGAGGCGGACCATTCTCGAGGACTCAGGGATCCGAGCGCAAAGGTGCACCCTTACTCGGGAGGAGTACCGCAAGGCGAAGCGCCTAGCCTCGGCACCGGGCGTTACCGTGCGCCGTCCCACTTCCGAACAGTCAGTCTTTGATGCTCCTCCGGGTTGCTTCGCCATCCACCTCAAGTCCCTTGAGTACGGGTTCCGCTTCCCCCTCCATCAGTTAGTCATAGATTTTTTCCTCCATTTTGATTTTCTCCCTTGCCAAGTCGTGCCCAAATCCCATTGTTACCTCGCGAGATTTCTTATTCGTTGTCAAGGGACCAGGGTTCGCCCCGATCTGGCTTGCTTCTTGCTGCTCTTCCGGTTGGCGAAGTCGTCTGGCCGGGCGAACTCCGACTCGGGCTCGTATGCCTCCATATTCTGGAGACAAGAGAAGCTCTTCAAGACGAGGAAGGACTCCGCCAAGAGCTGGAAAGGGAAATTCGTCTTCGTTTCTCTTTCCTCGGGTTCCCCCTTTCGTAAAGAACCCCTCAGCTCCTTTCGCCGTCGCTCCGCGTGCGTCTCCTCGGACAAGATGCTTGAGGACATAGAGACGCTCTGCCGAGGGGGGCCCTTCGAAGTCGGTTCGATGGCAACGAACGATGCTTTAGCGGCACTCGGCTTCGTCTTCCTATCCCCGGATGATACTCAGCGGAGCATCGAAGGAGGCCCCTCAGGTCAGTGCAATCTCTCCTCCTCGGCCATCCGAGGGTCGCGACTACCTCGGATTCCCCCGCGTCGCTCTTTTGCGGCTTAAGTCCTCGTCTCATCACTTGTCTTTTTTGGTTTGTGCAGGTGAAATCATGCTCTCCAGCGCCGAGCGACTGAAGCTCATGTTCCCGGATGCCCCTAGCGGCAACTCCCGGGCTCCTACCGTGGCCGGTTGTCCTCCGACTCCCCCCGTGAAGCCGACCCCCGAGGCGGCCCAGAAGAAGAAGAGAAAGGAGACGGCCTCGGCCAATGATACTCCCCAGGGGTCCGAATCCCCGATGATGAAGGATTTCGGCCACCCGAAATATGTCAAGGCGGCCTTCCCTGCAGGGGTCTCCTTTCTGGACCGGGACTACGACCCGGAGACCTTTCTGCGCAGCTTGACTCCTCTCACCGATCGCGCCAAAATCCAGGACGTCGACCGGGAAACTCTGGCCTCGGATATGTTTCACGAGATGGGCTCGGTAAGTTTC